TGTCGTGATCCTGATCAAACCAGCCGGTTTTGTGGGATTTCTATATCATATTTTTGTTGGTCGCGAGTCTTTGGATGTTCGTGTGTCACAAAACATGATTTCCTCCCCTGAGCCCAGCGCAAACCAAACACTAGACTTGAGATCTGTAAAGCATTTCAGGATCGCTTGACTTTTCTTAATCGACTTATGATAGTTTAGATTAGCTGGAACCTTTCGATTTTGTGAAATTTACTGAGAATAACGGACTGCCGGCCATTTAGTATTTTGAAAACCTTGACCGGCAGTCGAGCTGCAAAAATTTCTAAGTGTCACAAAACATGATTTCCTCCTCTGAGCCCAGCGCAAATCAAACACTAGACTTGACATCTGTAAAGCATTTCAGGATCGCTTGACTTTTCTAAATCGACATATGATAGTTTAGATTAGCTGGAATCTTTCGATTTTGTGAAATTTACTGAGAATATAGAACTGCCGGCCATTTAGTATTTTGAAAACCTTGATCGGTTACCGGCCATATAGCCACAGCGTATTTCATAACATGAAATAAACAAGGTCTAAACGCGCCTTGCGTATTTAACAACAATATCATTTTGATGCTAATTATTTAAGTGCAATCTACGGTTTTATGACAGCTCAACATTTTTCACATTGCTTATCCTCCTTTCCGCAAACGTTTATCCATTTGGCGTTCTTTACAGGCTTTGGATAGAGCCGCTTGGTATTAGGATCAAATGCAATTTTCAAGGGAAGATATTCAGCATGTAACACTCCATTTCTGAAAATAACATATGAGATAATTGAAATTCAGAGATCAATTTCTATTTCTTTCAAAGTTTTCGTTTTGTTTTGTTTTGCTTTTTGTTTTTGCAAGGCGTGCACGCCGATAAAAATGATGACCAGAGGAAAATGGCGTCATTACCGCGGCATAAATATGCTTAAAACTAAAAGCAAAGAATGACTGCCTCAATAAACTCATATAAATTAATTGTGAGGTATCAACAGATGATCGGCCAATCCAAAACTTTTTCGCCGGTTTCATCCATAAATTCATTTTAAACAAATTGTCGCTTCGTTAACTTTTTGAAATTTCTTTGTTTGTCACGGCAGCAAAACGGTTATTAAGCCCGACCATTTGCTCGTAACTTACGCCAGTTTGACGTCGCTCGAATCAACTCCAGGCCGGAGATTCTCCTATATTTGACATTTTCAGCGAATTGACAGCGAATTGGAATAAATGCGACAAAGTTTGAAAATGGGCGAATTCATTTTAAAAGAGACGTTTCCGCTATAGTCGCCGTCGTCGCTGCTAAAACTCCCCGGCTTTTTACTATCTTCTGTCCAATTTTAGCAGTAAAATGTTGAAGTATCTGACCTATGAACTGACTCTGAGGGGTATAATTGTTTTAGTATTTACCAAATCAGTTGGATAAAAATAAGAAAAGTAACTTTTTGTAAATAAAAGACGTCACTTAGTTAAGAGTTTGTTTACGTTTCAATTGACATTGTTTCGGGGATCATCTTTTTATGATTTGTTGCAAATTCAGTACTCGAATTTTTTTTCCTACCAACCAGTAAACACCGACAAGCCTAATTTTGTCTTTTTCTTGGTAATGGTTGGTGCAGCTGCTTCATTTAACGCTAAAATTTCATACTTCGAAACTGTCCCGAAACGAGAAGTCATTTTGAATCCCGTCTCAAAACAGTGAATATCCAAGGATATTCCGAGTTACGGGAGCCAATCAGAACGCGCAAAAATTGCTACCCACTGATTTGGTGAATACTTACTAAAACACTGGATATCCGGAGCTTAAGTATCCAAGTCAGAACACGCGAATATCCACTGTTTTAGTTTTAAGTGATTTGCTTTTTTACCCAAGAAGCACTTAAGAGTTCATATGTCCGAACTCGTTTAAACGTGTCCGTGCGTTCCAGATCCAATTAGAATTTGGAATTGTTGGTTTTTGAGGAGAAGGGAAAACCGGAGTTCCCGAAAAACCCTTATTGGAGCAAGAGAGAGAACCAACAACAAACTCAACCCACATATGGCGTCGACGCCGGGATTTGAACCCGGGCCACATTGGTGGGAGGCGAGTGCTCTCACCACGAGGAACCGCAAGCGGTGATATTTTTGCACGGCATCTGGCGGCACATCAAAGAATTTGGAATTGAAGGGTAAATTCCTAGAATATCTTCGCCAGTTAAGCTAGAGAAAAGCTGTTAAAAAACCTCAGGATCCAAAACAACACGTCAATCAAAATATCACTTGGACCTTTTCGCTAATGAAGAGCTATCACGCGGCTAAGCTTGAATTAGACATATATTGAAATAGGAACTCGTGTCAATAAAGTATCAGAAGTGAGTGGGAATCGCTCCTGGTTAAAAAACTGGTTCACAGGGAAATGCATCTCTTCTAGTTAAGAGAAGGGAATCAGAACTGCTTTTCATGCAGGAACAGGTTTTCTTCGGGCTAACTACAAAACTTCAGCTTATTTCACTCTTGACATTGTTAAAGGGCATGTAAACCCAAAAAAGCTACAATTTTGTTTGATATGAATAGAATGTATACCGAAAGTACTTCATAAATCTTTTTTCTTTTTTTCGATACAAGCGCATTTTGACCCGAGAAATCACCTCTGAAAGTTCACTTCGTCCGCCATTTTGATTCCGCCATCTTTGTTGTGACGTCACGAGTGGAATCTCTGCCCACCGGAAGTCAAAAACATCTTTGGGACCTTTACAAGCACGTGTGTTGTCTAGTTTCCTACAAGAATATTTTTTTAGTTTTGACATTGGTAAAGCGGTGTGTCGTTGGATCTTGTAATAACTCGAACAAAACAGGGCATTCTACTCATTTTCTTTTCCAAAAGAAGAAAGAATTCGGCGCCAGTGGATCCAAGTTAAACGTGCAGACTTCTTACAGCCTACAGAACACTCTATAATCTGTGGCGCTCATATTGCACACGAATGTTTCGAGGATGATGCGATGGTAAAAATGGGACTCAAATATAAAAAATCAATTTGAAAAGTGATTCCGTCCCCACAATTCAGCCCCAGCGACCCGAAGCATTGTCCGAAGCGCGCAAATTAGCGGACTATGGAGAGCGAAGAAAAGAAATACCGGCGACTGCGAGTCACACTCCTGGCAAAAGGTCACGAACAAGTCGAGCTGTGCACAAGTTATCAGTTTCTACGGTAAGTAATAAGCCAATGTAATAATTAAGAAGGATTTTTTTCATTAGGTCAGTATTAACCGTTCCCCTTCCTCAAGTATATTCAACTTTTTTTCACAGTTATTGGCCGATAATAAACGTGTCTCTGTCGCTGCGAACGCCGTCACGTCAGCTTCTGAGTCTATGCCCGTCGACACTGAAACAAGTGCTGTAGTTGCTCTGAAGTTCAATGTGATATTCTGCTCGAAACGTTTACAGGTAAAGGTAGGTTACGCTTAGACATAATCTTACCTCGCTTTTTTCTTTTCCCCTAACCGATTATCTAATGTAGAATCTCTATCCAGCAGGCACACAATTAGAACCCTTGAGAGAAGATTTTCAAGTGCGGTGCGACCTTATTACAGCTCTTTTAAGCACTAGTACACCAGAATGCAGTTCTGTTAAAAGTCTAGGAGGACGAAGCGTGGACGATGACAAAGATTTCGATTATGTTCCACCGACTGATTTGTCTCTTGAGGAAGCCGAGGACGACATTGAAGAATATGAGGGGAGTCCGTCAAAGTAACGTACTACACACTGGTTATATTTTTGCCCGGTATTTTTGAAGAGATATCGCACTTTTTTGTTTGCTTTTTTTTCTTATTTTTCGCTGACGGTTTTCACTTTTTATTCGTTAAAATATAGGTTAATTATTGCAGGTTTGGTGGCTTTAAACCAGCGTAGGAGGTGCCAAAATCCGCAGGAAATCTTTGGCGTATTTTGTTTACTGCGCAGGAAGGGAGCGCCACTCTTACTTTTCTGCAAAGATAAACCCCAACAACATCGCACAAGTTGGCGATAAGCGATGTAGCGAAATTTTCTAGACACGAACGAGTGGAAAAATGTTGGAATAAATATAAAACTACGAACATGCAGTCATAGATAAACTGTTCATAATTTTTTTTATGTACATAGTGAAAATTTCAGAACTAGTAAACATACTCGTGCCCTCTCTGACTGTCTGTGCCATGTTGTTGCCTATATGCATAATACGCCGTTTCAAGGACCCACACATCCATGCAAGTAGACTGAAATCCTGGATGTTCTGTTATACAGGACATTTGGACCTCCGTTTGCTCTTCAATTTTTTGCCATATTTGCCCTATTTCATGACAACATACGCTTTCGGGTACTGAAGGCATCGGCTGACACATTTTGTTGTTGTCCATAATCTCGTTGAACTCTGCGAGGCTCGTAACGACAGGGACGCGGACCTGCGTCTTCAGGAGGCTCTGAAGTTTCAGCTACATCGCTGTCATATAAATTTACGTCGTAAAAATCACTTTCGTCGGATGAATTCTGCTCTGAACTATCCGAACTCTCACTTATCGCTCGAGCCGCCATAGTGATAATCAAGTTGCGCAATAGACTGGTTCCACTCGTTACGTCATAGGTAATTCATATTGTTAACCGGAAGTTAATCTGCTGTAGAAAAAGCCGTGTTTTCGCCTTAGGAGCATCGAATTGGCAAAAACTAATAGCAAAATCGTTTTTAGAATACTTTTTTACATATAAGGGGATAAACTTGTATTTTTGGGTTTACATGCCCTTTAAAGCGCATTTTGTAAAGATAACTTTTTCCGCTTTATCGGCTTTTTTTATATTCTATTCCATTAATGTTTAACCTCCCTCAAAAATCCAAATAATATAAATGCTGTTGTTAAAAAAAGCGTTTTACCTGTTTTCGTGAATTCGCTACCCAAAGATCACTATGCTCAAAGGCCAGGGCAAAATTTCTAGGAGAGAGGCATTAATTTTTTTCCCACGAGGTTACAAGGAGAAAATGCAATGATTATTATTAATGTAATATACTCTACCCACGAGTTTACGGACAGCAAATGCAGTGATTATTATTAATGTAACCATCAGGTATGTTCTACCCACGAGGTTACAAAGAGAAAATGCAATGATTATCATAAAAGTAACCTTCAGGTATATTCTACCCACGAGGTTACAGTGATTATTAAATGTAACCGTCAGGTATATTCTACCCACGAAGTTACGGAGAGCAAATGCAATGATTATTATTAACGTAACCTTCAGGTATGTTCTACCCACGAGGTTACAAAGAGAAAGTGCAATGATTATTATTAACGTAACCTTCAGGTATGTTCTACCCACGAGGTTACAGAGAGCAAATGCAGTGATTATTATTAATGTAACCATGAGGTATGTTCTACCCACGGGGTTACAGAGAGCATGCAAACGCAGTAACAATTATTAGATTTTAGTGCAACTATCAGGTTGAGTTCCTCCATTAAAAGAGGTTTTTGCTAGGGTTAAACAAGTTTGGCTTTCATGAGTTTCAAGGTGCAAGAAATTATCAGTATAATTATAGCACACAAACATTGTCATCTAATTTTTCGCACGTAGCCGGAATAAGCCAAGAAATGAAGCATATATAACGAAAAATCGTCCTCAGATGATCTCTATATTAAGTAAATTATACTAAACGTTGCGAAAGAAATTATTGTTTGTATCCGTCTTATCCATCGTAAAAGCGAGGGGTCATCGCATGACATCCGGTATATTAAACAGAGGTAATACTCACAGGTTTCACGAGTTGTATGCACTATTTTTCGCCGAGAAACAAATTTAAACTTCAATTCTTACCTTACAGTAGTCCGTTCTTTTACCTTGCATTCGACAACAAATCTGTTAAAGGCGAGCAAAGCGATTCCGACACTCTTCTTTATGATGAGTAGCAAGCCGCAGGAACTGAAGCCGCTTGACTGAAGTAAAATCCACCGATATGCACGGCATTCTCACTACAAATATAAACAAACGTCGCGGGGAAAAAAAGACGAGGAGGAAAAAATGCCAGATCTTCGCCTCGGCAATGTATTCCAGCTACCATGCCGGCGTATCTCCAGAAGGTGGACTCGAAGGGGGACAAACCTTGTGATTTTTTTTAGAAGCCCTTTGCGCGCAAACTAATTTATTCTGGCGCGAAATGAAGATTAACAATATGTACTCTGAAATCTAATCCACGACAAGAAGATTTTCGCACTGTAGCACGACATATTAAATGCCTATTTTTACAAGTACGCGGAGAAAGTGGTCCACTAGTTTAACTTTTTTAAGATGAATTTACTCCACAAAAGCAAAATGAAATGTTTTATCTCTATGTTGTTTACGTGCCTGATTAGAAGGCAGAAGTAAATTCATCATACAGACCCCATCAAAATGAAAGTACACGAATGAAACGGAATAGGTCTGGGACGGTTTAGTTTCTACTCAGCAGCTTCTTTGCTTTATAACAAAAATTCAATGTTGCAGTCTGTGTTAAACGTTGGCATATCAACGCGCACAGTCACTGAATGAAAATAACAGTCACGATCACGTTCTTCGAAACCGACCAGACGCGCGCGACCTACCACTGTTATGGTAAGCAATTATCCTGAAGGTAATAATGTTCCCGTGACAGTCTTCGCACTGAAGGTGTAAATGGTAAACCGAACGGTCGCTTTGATCATCAGAAAGACCTGTCAACTTTGATGATTTAACTGATTAAATTACGGGACAGAAATTTTACTGCATGCAGCTCCTCGTGCACTGCGCCACCCTTGCCCCGTATACATGTATATACTAAAAAAGAATATTGTGTATTGCTGTATTGTGTGCACCTTGATAAAGTTGCTTTCAGCATCCGAGACATCTTTATGTCTTCGCAATCTTCCAAAACAAAATGTTCAAAGGCGTCAATGAGATTCTGGTCAGATTTCACCCCAAGTCTTCCTTCCGTACACACTCTGTTTAAGAACAAAGACTGGTTAGTAAACAGTAATTTGTCAGCATCTAAACCTAGCGGGATCTCAGTGAGTGGGTATCATAATTTGATATTCCAAACGATAATTTGTACGTATTGATGTTTAACTGATAATAACCCTGATGATGGTACAGTCAAACCTGTGTACAATGGTCACCCTTGGGAATTGGTAAGGTGACTGTTATATACAGAGTGACCGCTATACACAGGTTAGCTTTGCAGAAACTGAATATATAAGGCAACTGACAATTTGTGACGTTGTCCGGTGACCGTAATATACAGGGTGACCACTACTTATCTTAAACACCAAAACTTTCCCATTCAAAGCCTTACAATTGGAACCTCTAGTAAACGACCACCTCCTGTAGGCGGCCGCGACCACTTTTTGAGCCTGAAAGTTTAATGATTTTCTATTGTTTTTAACTTCTTGTAAGCGACCACTTAACCCATTCTCTGATTTCTATGTTCTGTGTTGACTTTGCTACCTAGAAAATATGAAGAACTTTAGTAACAACAAGAACCTACACATGGCGTAACTTAGAAATTGTATGCAATTTATTATCTACCATAAAGTGGATCTGCCCAGACCTCTTCTTGGAAGAGGCCCGCTGTGGTTCGATTCTTGTAAGAGACCACCTCCTGTAAGCGACCACTGAGTCTTTGCATTTTGGGTGGTCGCTTACAGGAGCTTCGACTGTACATTGAAAAGAACTATCTCAGTCCCAAAGTGTAAATTTAGCCATGGAAGACAGAGGCTAATTCAGCCTCTCCTGGAGCCATTTGAGCACATCAATTTAAGCCAAAACAGCGTCTGATCGAAAGCCTATTCCACGCAACGCTAGGACTCATTTAAGCCCGTGAGTTTAAATCTGTCCGAGCTACTTGAACTGTGTAGACTGTATGTTACTTACCGGAACGGCCCAATTTTAATACATTTTTTTTAAAATGTACAGTACATTTACCAGGAATTTACGAAGCGAGAGATTGGAAGCCTTGAAATCCGAACAGAGCAGTCAATTCAGCATACTTCACATACCACGAGCGCCCACCTGCGCATGCGTAAAGTACGGACGATAAAAGAAACGCTTTTGTTCGCCTCAGTCAACATGGCTTCCTTGAGGTCAACTGCAAACCAGCAAATGGTCGTGAGGTAGAAGAATACATGTATTAGGCTATCGCCCTTTGTAAGAGAATCCGGATTTCGGATTCCAGATTCCGGATTCCCAGAAAATTTTTTGCTTTTGGAATCCGGCATTCAATAATTTGCTTGTAGAATCTGGAATCTTGGACTTCGGAATCCAAAATCCGAAAGCCGACTAACGATTGGAATCTGGAATCCAATTTCCACTGGCAAAGAATCCGGAATCCAGTCCCAGGAATCCGGGATCCACGGCGTGGAAGACTGTCTTGGATCTCCTTACATAAGGCGAAGGTTCAAAAGTTACAATCTTTTCTTTAGTTATAACATAGTGTAGTCTCCTACGCAGCCGTTTTTAGGCTCGTCACCCAACGCTCGGCACGCAACGCTCGTGACGAGCCTAAAAACGGCTTCGAAGGAGACTAAACATAGTGTTGCCTTACTGGTAGAATTCCACTGGGAGGTTGTTTAGGGTAGAACAAAAAATTACCAAGACTGTAAGCCACAATTTTGTTGTCGTCGAGACAGTGAGGCTGGAGTACATGTGGATGCGCCCCGATGACCATTTGAACGCCAAGGGACATCAGATGTTTGCTTACACGACGCTGATGGCGAACAGGTCTTCTGTAAAGTTGTTCTCCGAAATGCATGAGAACGACAATGATATCTACTTTAGCCTATAATAAAAGTTTCAAATTATGCTAGTCTGCCAAATCATAAACATCATCATCATTATTACCAGTAATAGTAATAGTAGTTTTAGTAGTAATAGTAGCAGTAGCAGTAGCAGTAGTAGAAGCAGTAGCAGTAGCAGTAGCAGTAGTAGTAGTAGTAGCAGTAGTAGTAGCAGTAGCAGTAGCAGTAGCAGTAGCAGTAGCAGTAGTAGTAGTAGTAGTAGTAGTAGTAGTAGTAGTAGTAGTAGTAGTAGTCGTCGTCGTCTTATCATTATCCTTCTCGTTTATTTGTTTATTTATGTATTCATTTGTTTATTATTCTCTGATGGCTTCAGTCTTTACATAAGAGAAGGTAAGTCAATACTGAAAAAAGGAAAAGGGTTTCCGCGATCACGCTCACTGTGTACGAACGAATTTGTATCTTGGCGCGTCTTTACAGTTGTTAAGAGTGGGAAATAATATTGAATAAGCAGGGGTTTGGGGTATAGCATGTAAAAGGAACGTGGTAGAGGAGAAAAAAAAAAGCGGAGCGTCCCTCTCTTCTTAAATAAAGGTTATGTTTACCCGCCAAAGGTATTAAAAGTATTAATTAAGTAGATTTATCCGTTCAAGGCATATTTTTTAACTTGGACACTTGTATGTCCTATCTTGGTATCGTCTTTAACAGATGTTTCTTCTTTTAAAAAACTCCTGAATAATGATCAGTTTAGTTACCTTCAACTTGTTTATGTCTCTTGTAGCAATGTTATCGCTATAAACTGCTGGGCCGACGTCATATTTCATTCTTAGTTCCGTCCAGTTTTGGTTTGGATACGTTGGAGAGTCACAATACCCAAGAAATCCAACCTTTCTTCCTTTTACCTCCATGATAAGAGGTTCCTACCACGGAGGAAAAAAACGAGGATCAATTTAGGTTTCTGGGAAACTGCCCACCTACCCCTCCCCTAATCCAACGTTTTCCCTCGCAGGGGAGGGCTAGGTGGGCAGTTTCCTAGAAACCTAAATTGATTTTTAAAAAAATAACAAAAAAAAGACATATAATTGTACCGAAAAATCCCTCGGATCCTTCATACTTTTATTATTACCCGCCTACTATCGAAGATGACTCAGTGAAAACGTGTCAAAGAATTAAGGCCACAATAAATCAACTTTCCCTACCCCTATCCATCCCTTCTAAAAAACCCATTTACTTCTCTCTGCATAAGGTTCTCGCATTCACGAAAGTCAAAGTGTTGTCGATTATAAATACGCGATGAAAAAATTTCGGAGTAAACCCAGAAGTTTCGAGAGTGCTCCTACACTTCTCTCGTGGTTTAAAAGCAATCATGCAATCATGACTTTGGCAGTTGTATAGAGAAACCATTAAAACAATACCAAGAAACACGACATAGATCAATACCTGGGAAGCGTCAAACTTTCCATAACTGACACCAGTATATTTCAACCCTATTCTTTTGAGGATGTTAACAGTATAATTGCTGCTTATGGGCCCGAAGTCGTTCAAATGGTTGTTGGCAAGAGTAATAGCATCAAATCCTGCGAAGCTGTAAATTGAAATGGTTTAGCTGAGATTCAAGCTTTTCTTCTAACTGACTTGAGTGCTTGATATCTGGCAACAATAATGATGGCCTAAAGTCCTCGGTGGAGGAGAGGGAGATGAAGGGGGCCCCGGGGGGAGAGGGGTTTACTCAACAACGTTTTTTACAGAGAGGCTCCTCCCCAAGGTCAGACCTCCTAAATCTTCTATACACTAATTTGACAGATAAAGGTAAAAAGCAACCCTTTCGTATTAATGCCTGGTTAGTTTGCCAATGGTTAAAAAATACCCCAGACTTTAACTATCTCCGAACAGCTTTTTTAAAGTTTTCTCGCGAACGTTTTTCGGGAGCTTTAGCAACGACGACAGCGGAAGAGTAACGAGAACGTCAGCAGAAAATAGGTTTAGATTGGCAAAACAACAACTTTGTACGTGCATCACGCTTTTTTGTAAATTTATTTGCCGACACTGCACTTGCCGTCGCGTTAACAGGGCAAGCGACGACGAACTTTTCTTTCTCTTTCTAAACTTAAGTGCAGTCTCCAAGAAATCAACTCCAGGCCGGAGATTCTCCTATATTTGACATTTTCAGCAAATTAACAGCGAATCGGAATAAATGCGACAAAGTTTGAAAATGGGCGAATTCATTTTAAAAGAGACGTTTCGGCTATAGTGGCCGTCGTCGCTGCTAAAACTCCCCGGCTTTTCACTATCTTCTGTCTAATTTAAGCAGTAAAATGTTGAAGTCTCTGTTGTCAATAAGACAGCCTGCAGGAAACAAAAACCAAATTTTTCAGCGCAATAAATTGCGATAATACCCCAAAAGTTTGAAGAAAATCAAGCACTACTGAAATCAAAATTTACTAACACGATCACCAACAAAATGAAGCAAAAAAGCAAATCAACTGCCATGTAGTTTCACTGATTTTGGGACACATCATTTTAACCGATGGTTAAGAAGTTAACACTCGTAACGAGGTACGCTAAATTTAACGCATGGTAAGAAGAAATTTGACCCGTGGTTAACACTAACCGGCGTTCGAGCAACCGAAACTAACCCTCGGTTAATTTTTATCCATTGGTTCAAAGGTTTAACCATCGGTTAAGAAATAGCCATCTTTCGAGCAACCGTGGCCAGGTCTCAGGAAGCAAAAAAGGACCTGTCTGAATAGGGTTAATTTAGTTAATATAGTTTTTAAAGCCACAAAATTTACCTTAATGACGAAGCAGCATCTGCACTTGCATCTAACACGAAGGCCTTCTTCCCATTAAAGTTTCTATACGATTCATGGTCTACAAAGGGAGATTCTAGATTCGCCACAGAGACATCCGCTTCTCTGATGTATTTGGCTACGTCTTTAAACGAGTCATTGTACGAATAATAGCCATTTTCCACGTAGTATCGCACTGGCCCAGAAAAAGCAATATCACCAACGAAAACGAATGTAATTGGTTCTATAAAAATTAAAAAAATATATCAAGAATCAGGAATAAAAACTAAGTTCACTAAGGGCTCCATTCAAACTAGCTCTGCTAAATTGGATGCCCCTGGATAAATGTTGATTTAAAAAAAATCTTAAAAGCACATATAATTTATTCAGTTGAAAACTCGGAACATGAACTAACTTGTATCTGTCAGCTAAATGAAGAAAACCCTAATTACTTTAAGCAACACCAAAAAGAACCAATTTTGTTCTTCTGCAACAGGCGATCAAAGTTCAAGGTGCTTGATCGTTCGGACTCAGTCGGATTTTTAAAGACTAATAGTAGGTATGCTGAGAAAATTCCAGAAACTAATAATAAGGGCTCACCTGAATTAACACTAGAAGCTATGTACGTTATTGATACTAACATAAATACTGAAATCTCCATTTCAGACTTAGCAGTCAATCTCTTATTCAAATAGCTTATAAATATTTTTTTTATCAGAACGTAACGCTCAAAATACTCAGGATTAACCAACGAGGAAAAATTGGAAGCTTTAAAATTTATCACTGATGATTTGTTATTGAATTTCGCCACACAATCCCATTTAACCGTCCAAGAACCTTGCACTGTTAACACTTGTTTATCTACGCCCTGTACTTGAAAGTAGGTAGAAGTTGCAAGCTCAAATGTCTCACTTAATTTTTGTCGCTTGAAGAAACAACACGTGAAAATAACTCTGCCACATACATAGTTAGCTCAGTCCTTTCATGCAATTTACGCGAAAATGGATATGGACTATGCCACCAGTGCCTACCCGTCATAGGGTGCTGAAACGAACGGGCTCAGGGCTTTAACCATTGTGGTAAAGAGTTAACCATCTTTCGAGCAACCGTGGCCAGGTCTCAGAAAGCAAAAAATCGGATGTTTATCGGTTTCTGGGTAATCGGGTCCGATTTTTCTCAATCGGACCCGAATATCAACTCGGACCCGATTTAGTTTAATCGAACACGATAACAAATCCGGTCCGAATTGTAGTCGAATCCGATATATTTCGGATCACCAACAAACACGACCACCAACAAAATGAAGCAAAAAAGCAAATCAACTGCCATGTAGTTTCACTGATTTTGGGACACATCATTTTAACCGATGGTTAAGAGGTTAACACTCGTAACGAGGTACGTTAAATTTAACACATGGAAAGAAGAAATTTGACCCGTGGTTAACACTAACCGGCGTTCGAGCAACCGAAACTAACCCTCGGTTAATTTTTATCCATTGGTTCAGGGGTTTAACCACCGGTGAAGAGTTAGTCATCTTTCGAGCAACCGTGGCCAGGTCTCAGGAAGCAAAAAAAGACCTGTCTGAATAGGGTTAATATAGTTAATATAGCTTTCAAAGCAACAAAATTTACCTTAATGACGAAGCAGCATCTGCACTTGCATCTAACACGAAGGCCTTCTTCCCATTAAAGTTTCGTTTACCGGTTTCTGGGTAATCGGGTCCGATTTTTTTCAATCGGACCCGAATATCAACTCGGACCCGATTTAGTTTAATCGAACACGATAACAAATCCGGTCCAAATTGTAGTCGGGTCCGATATATTTCGGATCACCAACAAACACGACCACCAACAAAATGAAGCGAAAAAGCAAATCAACTGCCATGTAGTTTCAATGATTTTGGCACACGTCATTTTAACCGATGGTTAAGAGGTTAACACTCGTAACGAGGTACGTTCAATTTAAAGCATGGTGAGAAGAAATTTGATCCTTGGTTAACGCTAACCGGCGTTCGAGCAACCGAAACTAACCCTCGGTTAAATTTTATCCATTGCTTAATTGGATGCCCCTGGATGAATATTGATTAACAAAAAAATCTCTTAAAAGCGCTTATGCATAATATATAGAAAAACTCGGAACATAAACTAAGTTGTACCTGTCAGCTAAATGAAGAAAACCCTAATTACTTTAAGCGACACGAAAAAACTAGACTACGAGCAGTCTCTCTTTTTTCTTGGTCCGTCGAGCAAAACGCCTGAGACACGCAAATGACCACGCGCCTGACTGAAGGCGCGAGACGGGAGAGGTACCGCCCTTGTTTCTCGCGTCTCGCGGCTTCGCCGCTCAACACTTCCCTTACTAAATCTGAAGAAAAAAAGAGACTGCTCGCAGTCTACCAAAAAACAACCAATTTTGTTCTTCTGCGACAGGCAATCGCAGTTCAAGGTGCTTGATCGTTCGGACTCGACTAATAATAGGTATCCTGAGAAGATTCCAGTAACTAATAATAAGGGCTCACCTGAATTAACACCAGAAACTATGCACGTTATTGTTACTATACTTTCATGAATATTGAAATCTCCATTTCAGACTTAACAATCAATCACTTATTCAAAACGTAACTTCAAAGCTAGGAAACTACAGCTTAAAATACTCAGGATTAACCAACGCAGAATAATTTGCAGCTTTAAAATTTGTCACTGATGATTTGTTATTAAATTTCGCCACATAATCCCAGTTAACCGTGTCAATCCCTAGAACCTTGCACTGTTAACACTAATTTATTTATCTACGCCCTGTTCTTGAAAATAGGTAGAAGTTGCAAGCTCGAAGATCTCACTTAATTTTTGTCGCTTGAAGAAACAACCCGTGAAAATAACTCTGCCACATGCATTCAGTAGTTATCTCAGTCCTTTCATGCAATTTACGCAAAAATGGATATGGACTTTGCCACCAGTGCCTACCCGTCATAGGGTGTTGAAACGAGCGGGCTCAAGCTATCTAGCTGTAATACAAGGATCTAGGCACTATTAAAGAGGCAATTATTTGTTGTTGCTTTTAACTAGCTTTCTGCACCCCTTTTCCCCACAGGAGTCTTTTCTTTTCTTACCTCTCTCACTACTGTGATTACATCATGATCAAATTCATATTCCAGTCCACACATTCAGAGTCCTTTTTGTCAAATACTTAAATTTGGAAGAGGTTATGATGACAAAAATGGAATAATCTTTTTCTCTATTATTTTTAACTCGGCTTCTAAGCAAAAATTGCGCGCGTGTGTCACACGAGGTTGTGAAATTTGTGCAGAAAAAAGTTGTACTTTTAACCATTTCAATGGCATTAACTTACCCCATTAATGGAAAAGGTACCCTGTTACGGTCTCCTAACCCATTTATGGTTCCGGATACTAGATAACACCAGTTATTTAACAATCAATAAGTGAGGCTAAGTGTCTTATGAAGCTTTATGAAGAATTATGGAGATCGAGGATCAATGGAGGCCGTAGGCCGAGGCGGATAACACCCTCCGAGATCTCCATAATTCTTTATATGATATGAAACCCGAATTCAATAATTGTTTTATTATTCATTCAAAATAATTCCTAGTTTAAAAACATAGCTAAAACAAGCTTACCTGCACCGATGTTAAGTTTATCTTCGATAGTTTTCCAGCTCCGTAAATATTCTCCAAATAGCAGATGTTGCCCTCCGAGTTGTCTTCTTACTGTTTTTGCTATGTTTTTCGCCATTATTTTGCCTAGTTCCAGCTGTAGTTCTTACTCTTGAAACGGGTGAAGCGTCCCCCATTTTAGTTTTTACCAGTTTTTACATCTCGTCCCCAGATCTTCTCGGTTAAAGGTGCATTAACCTGTAGAAGGCAGCATTTTTTGACGTCATTTCCTCGTTCAACACAAAATTCTTCCAAATTTGGTCACCAGTAACTGGTTATGGTGAATTATGCGTGTGCTTTTAGCCAATCAGAATTGGGGAAATATTTTGAATGAATAATAATAATAGTTAATAGAATAGTCACTGATTGCCTGTGCAAGTGACATACATGTAAGGACATTTAGGAACTTAAAGGAAACTAAAAGATTTACCTGTATCGAGACAGAATGGTCCTTTATTCTGTATTATCTACATTGAAGCCCCCTAATAACATGAACTCTCTAGTTTTGGCTTGGAGCCAGCCCCAATTTGCCACCTTATGAAGCGAGAAGGGAACTAGAGCCGAAATGAGTCCCGTAATTGTTTCTGCGATTGTTACTGGGGACGCACCGGTCAGCTATTGGCCATTTTCTTTCCCTGTCCCCAGAAACAATCCCAGAAGTCTTTGCGAAAGTTAACTCGGTTTCCTCGATTCTAAAGTGGCGAATTTTGCAATAGGCCACTTCCGAGTTCCAAAAAACTTAACTTTCAAAATGAGGCCAAGTGCAGAACCTTTCTTGTGAAAATAAATTGTATTTGCATGAAAATGAAAAATCATTTCCATATCAAAGGTTGAGGACTTAACCTCGGTTTGATACAGAGGCCAGGGGGAACTCGGAAATGTCCCGGAACCTGAGGGAACTGACTATAATTTGTGTACCACCACACCTTTGCCTCTGAACACAAAAATATGATGCTTATCAGTCCTATTCTTCTTCCAATCCAATCAAGACCTCTTCAGGTTCTCAAGTATATTATGAACTCATTTAATGCTCAACGCTACTAATTACCTTGTTTATCACTATTCATTCAGGGGCATTTTTAAAGTTGGGTTTAGGAAAGCGAAAATACTTCTTAATTTGTTGCAAAAGTTTTTATTTTAGTGCAGATAGCGTCAAATTTGGGGCCTTTAAAAAAAGACGTAGAAAAAAAAGAAATAGATAAAAATCTTTCAAATAATAGTTGAAATCCCAAAGGCTTAGTATTGTTCTGAATTTTGTTTTCTTTGAACAATAGGTGTATACATAATTAATGTGAGCGGTTATAGGGCAACCTTGCTGAGGCTTTTACGACCCTAAAAAAATTAAAAAACAAAAAGCGAAAAGAACACAAGTACTTTACATGTATATAACATAAAGTTTCAAATTTCAAATATTAAAACTTTCTCTGTGTACCCCCTTAGAACAACATCCAAACAGTAAATTAGATCATACATCGCAGAAATTTAAAGATATAAAGCAATAAATCTGCATCAGCTTCAGCATCCAGCTACACGGTACTTTTAGCATATCGAAGGCGGAAAGGCGGATTAGTTTCACTTTTCCTTCGCATCACAGCGCCTTTATGTGTTTCAACTCTCTTTCTCCTTACGCCCTGTTCGCTTTTGAATACGTGCGAGTGAACTGTACCTGTAGAATATACCTTGCGTGCTGCAGTCACGTGGTAAAACGAAATTTTAGAAAACAAAGCGTCTTATTGTTGCCTAAAATTTTGAGCAGGATTTGGAACGTTCCTTACAACTCCAGATCACCCACTGCAGGCCCCGTACAATATCAACCCCTCCCCCTCATTCCAAGCCCTCCCATATCAGGCCCCCTTTCCCATATCAACCCCCCAATCCTAGGCCCACCATTCTAAGCCCCGACGTCAATACGAAGCCCCAAGTTAATAATTATAACAAGACTAAAAATAAAAGAACTCATGATAGTAATAATAATAATAATAATAATCCTGTAGAGGATGAGGCGAACACCACCTATGCCCGCAGAACAAAGGCCAAGGCCAAACACCACGGTCACCAACAGTTCAGGCCAAGGGTGGGAATCAAAAGCGCTCCATGGCAAATACCTACAGCGGGTGAAACCGGCTGACGTGGACCAAGACAAGACCCACAGATGGCTAAAGGCAGCTGGCCTCAAGGCAGAAACCGAGGGCTTTATCATCGCAANAACAGCTCAGGCCAAGAGTGGGAATCAAAAGCGCTCCATGGCAAATACCTACAGCGGGTGAAACCGGCTGACGTGGACCAAGACAAGACCCACAGATGGCTAAAGGCAGCTGGCCTCAAGGCAGAAACCGAGGGCTTTATCATCGCAACCCAGGAACAAAGCCCCCAACACGCTGGTATTAACAAAACATCCTCAAGAAGCCTGACGTGGACCCAAAATGTAGACTGTATGGCCGTTTCCACGAGACCATTGACCACCTGGTCTCTGGCTGCCCTGAACTGGCTAAAACTGAACATACCCGCCGCCACAACAAGGCAGCTGCACCCATGCACTGGAAGGTCTGCAAAGAGTTTTGCATTGAGTCGAAGGAACGATGTTATGAGCATGAACCCAGGACTGTCACCGAGAATGACGTCACTATTCTGTGGGACATACCCATCCACACTGACAGGACCATACCAGCTAACAGGCCGGACATTGTGCTAAAGAACAAGAAGGATAAAACCTGCCTTCTCATTGACGTGACTATACCCCTCGACACCAACACCTCAGTCTAAACCGCGGAAAAGTTTACCAATTACAAAGACTTGGAAATCGAGGATGACCGAATGTGGGGGCTGAAAACAACAACAGTCCCGGTGGTTATGGGAGCCCTTGGCACCATCAAGGAGGACATGGAAAACTACTCCAACAAAATCCCTGGCAACATCAACATACATGAACTCTCCTTTCTACAGCCCACCTTCTAAGTCAGACGGGCCGGTCCTTCCCATCAAGTAGAAACCCTCTTTGCTTCCCAAAGTCCATGGCTTGGACTCGGATGTTGAGAGAGTGAATCAATCGCAATTGCAGTAGTAGTAGTGGTAATAACAATAATAATAATAATAAAATGCTGATAACATATTTGGCGAAATAGTGACAAAGCATAAAGGGCAATCTGAATATTATATGTCATCACTTGACGTGCCTACAAGTCGAGCTCAAAATTTAAAAAAAAAGTTGGCGGTCTTTAAAGAGTTAAGCGTGATATGTTGTTATCTACTACGCTTTGAAGGTATATTTCAACTCTGTCGACTGTCTAAATATATAGATTTCGTTTTAATCGCGAAAGAACATCTGTGAAAACGTCCATGGTCCGTCAACGAATAGAATTTTACTTTTGGAGGAGCTGATCTTCAAATCGTGGTTCAGCATGTACAGCCGGACAGTCAAATGTGAGATTTGGCGACAACAAAAATTAAGTTCGACAGTGATTGTTCTTTCCTTTACTTAATAGTACAATCTTTTGCTACAGTGTTCAAGCCTTCGCTTAATGAGAGTAAAATTTGGATACATGCTCTTTGGATGATAGAGTCTGTGTTAATTTGTCTGTGTTCTTACTCATGACACTTTCAGGCCTTTTAAGCTTCATAATTGACAATAGGCCATTTGCAAGATGACATAATTTCACTACTACGACCAGAATCCTTCAGGGTTTTGCTTTCTTTTGCTAACTAGGGGTTTTGTTATTCAAACCTCCCTGGGATTACAAAATTTAAATATGAAAGGAAAAACGAAAAGGATTCTGGTCGTAGTAGTAAAATGACGCCATCGTGCAAATGGCCTATTCTAGACTCTCTTGGATTACCTTACAAGAGACCATAGTGGTATTGAATGTGCATCAGTTACGCAAGTAACGTCAGACGAATACTCTGAGGATGACTGCCGCACAGGTTGACGAAACGTCAGTCACTGTCAACAACAACAGTCCAATTCAGGACTACGTTCACCCGGATGATCATACTCAACCTACTCATGAAATGACTCCTAGGTTCAACAGTCCATTAACTATGGTTGAAAACTTTCACAGTTTTAAGCCAAATCATAGTTAATGGAGTGGAATGGTTATGAAACCCGTCAAAATCCTTTGTTATATGTTTTTTTTGTGGACCTGAAGGTGCACAACGTTCGATAGCATTCTTAGCATTTTGATCGTATTGACAAATAAAAACATCGCATTACCAAACGAAAACAAAGGATTGTGCACCTTCAGGAAGCTTCCATCATAAAACTGCAGCACTGTTGTTTTTATAATTGATGTTTGCTGCCTTCCATAACCAGTCTCCTCTAATAACTATGGCCAAATTGAGCAGGCCGCAAAGTCAAATGATGGATTTCCAGTATTGCCGTCTCCTTTCTTTTCTTGTCCATGTATGACTTAATGCAATGATCGATACGTAGAGGTCACCGTTCCTAGACTGATAGAAGCACCTCCTGGCGTTAATCCAAAGAATTCCGTCCCGAGAGTGATAAAATTACCAGCATCGAACAGTTTTGTTGTCAACTTTTTTTTTATGATCGTGGTGATGATTTTAGTACAAGACAACAGTGTCCCACGGAAAACAGAGTCATTTGTTTTAAAGTTTAAAGTGTTAACCCTAGACGTTTATTTAAATATGGCGTTAAAACATGCTACAACAGGTTATGCATATTACTTAACTATGTCAATTGGAAAGGATTAATCATTGCGTACGATAAAAGCTTGATTAGGTCACAATAACGATTATCAAATTCCCACCAAGTTATTTGCACAGCCAAAGCCCCGATCTCTATCTGACGGCTCTTAACTAAGGCAACATGTTCTTGATCTTCATTTTTTTGTGGAGTTTCCAACTATCTATGATGGTCAGTGCTGTGACTCGTGAGTACTATATAGCAGCAGTGATCAAAGAGTGGAACTATGCACCCAGCGGGCAAGACAAAATTAAAGGAGTACCACTCCAAAACGACAGGTACGTTAAGAGAGAATTTCACTGTATGTACGTAGCTACCTCTGCTTATAAGGAGCGATCCTCACGACTTATGCTTAAGCTATCTGTTTATCCGGCACCTGCTTAACTAAACTATCCCTGCTGCTACTTCTAAGTACTATTCATTTGTTCAATGAGCTCCTGGCTTTCAGCTGCTGTTGTCGGCTTCTTCTGCTGCGTTCAATCTCTTGCCCTCTGACTTACGTAACAGAATTTGAGCGGCATAATCTACAATAGCTGTTAAGAACAGTGCTATATTATCTTTTTATTGTACATCGCATCAGTACGTTAAGGGTTTCTTGCTCAAACTTCAGCCTGTCAAGACATTGTGCTGCTTCCCTAACTTTGTATACGTAATTTATCGTTAATGGAAGAAAGAAAAAACGAAATCCCCAAGCTCCAGGGAACATTAGCCGGCGCCCAATATAAGTTAGCATTTTTTTTAACTGGTTCAATATTCATGCTGTAAATCAGAAAAATCATCGTACTTTGCTTTAACAGTTGATTAAAGCGTCGAACGTGATTTAATTAATTCAGTCGTGCTATTAGTTTTCTAATTTTGTTTTACAGTCATGCTATAAGTATGATGTCAAGCGTACCGCCAGTTTTTATAAATTAAGTTTTAAAAAAATTATGATTCGGTTCATAGTCGTTGACGTAATTAAATATGGTCAAATTCAAATCTGAATTCCTGCTTATTCACCATTGAATCGATAATAACCGTTATGAATTTATATCAGTTGCAAATTCAGGCGGAAATTTCATAACAACTGACCTTGAATTCACTACTCATTGCGAATGCAGGCATGCAGCCGTCTGCAATCTGTAACCACAGACGCATTCAACTTTGTAATCGATTCACTGATAATTGAATCTTGGGGTATACAGGGTATACGCTTGACCTGGCTTGACGGCTGTAATATGAATTGTTTTTTCGCCATTGGAAACATTCAGATCAAACATGCAAAACTGTCAA